CGGTTTGAAGGGTGGGGCGCCGTTGTAACTATACTGAGACCTTAGAAGTCATATCTCAAGGTGGGTGGTGGCATTTACGTTGTAGATGTCTATGGGCTCCGGCAACCACTTAGCATCAGGTGGGCCGTGAGTTCATCCACCCACCAATGCAATAAAAATAAATTAAAAAAAGATGGTCGAAGTCTATTGTATTATAAGAGTGTGTTCACATGAGTAATGTTGGAGCGCGGGACGAAACAGTCTCAGCGTCGCATCGCGAGTGCATACCTACAGTGTGAACTCACTAACAACTCCCGTTTCGGTACAGGCAACAGTTGTACTACACTTCGCGCTATGTGCTCGTCTCAGCAAATATGTCGAATCAATAGACGGCGATAACCAAGTTCAGACACGACAGAGTTGCAAGACTAGCAACCGGGCCTCGGATGTGGGCTCGGGTCTCAAACTAAACAGATTATCACAGCCTAGTGTTGCGAGCATGCGGCGTCATTTTCACGTACCTACGTCAATCAATATTTGGAGCAATTCTTGTGTCTCTCTTGCAAACAGATTAAATTTCTTTTTTAAAGACATCATTTTTTATGTATTAATAATTATTATTAATTTTATTTACAGTTTAACGGAATATGAATCCGCAAGGTTAATAATACCAAGTTGAACCGTGTAGGTATATCGACATTATACTACTTATATAAAATACCTTCAATAAGAATTTGAACCTATAGTACAGTGACAAACTGATTAAATAAAAATAATCGGTCGTTTATTATATTTAAAAATGCGAAAAAAACAGCAATACAATATTTTTAAAACCAGAATGCACAAGTCAGGTTTTAGAATTTGTTTAAAACAGACATTCAAAGTCAGCCAAGCTGAGTGGACAAATTCCTTAAATATTCAAAATATTTGTTACATCACGCATATAGGTATTTGGAAGTCATTTAAATGAATGTGGATATTATAATAATAGAAATCAATATTACGGATTACCTATAGGTAAGTGAAAGATGCAAATGGTATTTGACTCGCATTCTCTATTCGTACAGAAGCTACAGCTAATCCCATAACGACAAGTTAACTCGACACTTTAAAATTAACTTCGCTTAGCTACGCTTACCTACTGGCTTAAGTCTTCGGGGCTGCAGACAGATCTTACTGTACTTTTGTTTGTGCCACACACTCATTGCGTATTCATTAAGAAAAGTTTCTGTAAATACCTAGTTTTGGAAAAGTTGTATGGTGGTTGGAAATAACTAATATCAATAGTTTACTGACTAGTACCAACCATAAACACGTGCGAGGAGCACGTGCGATGTCCTCTTACCTGTCGAATAAGGACTTTCATGATTGTCTCGCACAACAAACAAACACCATTAATTATTAAAGCAGTCAAGAACACAAGTTTTAACAGTCGAGACCGTTGCTCATCTACCTCAATGTGCTTATAACTTAAAAGACAAAAATTGTATGTATTAAATTATTTAACATCTAAAGAAAAGGATGCATGTTTTTTCCCAAACAGCTTCCATACATAATCCACATGCACACTAAGCATTAAATTCATTTACGAAAATTCACTCACTAGTGCGCAAAGCTCTCACTGAGATACTAAAAACACTATAAAGTTTTAAGTCTTGAAATTACTTGAGCCGTTTGTGCTCACGTGAGTATGCAGCGTTCTCGTAATTGCATTTATTTGCATACAAGTGAAGTCGCTCCGCGCAGACTTTTATCGCTCCTAAGTGAGCGCTATCCACTTAGTAGAGCGCTCCACATAACTTGCACGCTACATTATGTACTTGTAGTCGACTACTTTCAATTTTATTGGTTTCATTTCAAACAATTTCGCGAGTAACTACTAATTCTTTTTTTTACTGCTTGGATGGTTGGACAAGTTCACGGCCCACCTGGTGTTAAGTGAATGCCGCCACCCTGCGATATAAACTCTAAGTTTCAGTTGAACAGGTCAAAGGCTGCGCCATATAACCTAAATGCATTACTGCTTCGCGGCGTAAATATGCCTAGTAGCCCACCAGTGGTAGGTATATTATAATTTACAATGAAGAACAGAACATTAATGAACTATGAAACATTTATGATATAATAATCTGGCCAATAAATATCAGCGCTGTTCAGACGCGCCAACACATCTCTTATACAAAGTTAACATTGGTTGGTACTAACCTACGAGATAAAAGTAAATCTAGATTTATAATGACATTAATAAGGCGCTTAACTCAATAATCTTACGTAATGAACGTACACGTCATTCTGATGGGATACTCTTTAAATGAATGGTAATGACATTAGAGCACGGGCACCTCCCTACATCGGGAAGGTCCGACTATATAATTATGTTAATTATAAGCTACGAAGCACGAGATTAATTCTCACTTTTGTTCTTCTTAATGTCCGGGGCTCGGAGCTCGGAGTGCCACCTAGTGAATTAATGAATACACAAGTGTACTTCCTCGTCTTATATTGACGGTGAGGGATTTAATAATCTCTATTATTATATCTTAAAATTCTAAGTGTGAACGATCTACGCGTGTTTACAATATTGATAATTTATACCTAATTCACAAGCTTCACGTTCTCTCGGGTTTCTTATTTTCTTTTTTTTTTTGTTTTTTTTTCCCAACTAAGCTGGTAGCCTAGAGAGGTTATTTCAGCGTAACCGTAACTAGTAGGTGAGCTCACGGGGCTCAAACCTGACGACAATGCTAACACGAACCCTAGCAAGAGCCGTGCTTTGCAGAATCTACCACCGGATCGGAAATGCGACCCATTGAGAAGATCCGGCGAGAAACTCAGTGGGCTGTGTCTGAGAGTTAATTTACTCGAGCCCTTCGTCGCAAGCGACAGGTTCGACGAGAACGGTGACCGGTGCTTGAAGTACCTAGAAGCACCGTTAGTGGATCGGGAGGATCCGAGATGACGTGTTTTGGGCGACGTCGACTGCTTTACATTCTTTCCGCAGGATCGGGAATGTAGTTACCGGCGGCCACGATGAGAGGGTTCTCGTGTCGTGCCGCTTTATCGAAGTGGCGGGTTTCTTATAACTTTCGAATGTAGACGTGTGCATGCCGCTCACCTGATGATGAGGGGTCATGTACGGTAGTGTGCGTCCTAGCCGCGCTGCCCATCGCCTCCACACAGTCCAATTCACCCTCCCGACGCTACTGCTAGCATCTCGTCCAAAATTAGATACTGTGCCTCAAACCAGACCTTCAATATCTTTGTGGTCTTCTAAAATAAAATAAAACCTAGGAGTCACCCTTAACAGAGGGATGGCATTCAGTCCCACAACGCGACTAAACCACGTTCCTACTTGGTCGACTCTACCCCATGATCTGCAAGCGGAGAAAATTATCCCTTTGCAACAAATTGACACTAAAAAACTTGCATACGACCCATCATGACCTATGCAAGTGTAGTGTTCCCCCACACGGCCCGCATGCACGTACTCCCTCTAGCTCATCCAATCCCGTTTCTGCAGGATAGTCGACGGAGCATCGTGCTCTGTGAGGAACGTCGATCTTCACAATGATCTAAACATAGAACCGATGCGTAAGTATCTAAAAGAAGCGTCAGGGCGCTACTTTGAAAAGCGTCGCGACACGATAGAACCCTTATCGTGGCCGCCGCTATTTACAATTTCGGTACCACGACGACGGGGCAACGCAAAATCGTCGTCGCCCGAATCATGTTTTGTCAGATCCCCCGGAATCAGGCTCTTCAAGCACCAGTCACCCTCCCCGTCACACAACACAACCCACAGAGTTACTCGCTGGATCTTCTCAGTGGCTCCAACTTAGAGGCTCATGAACCTCATCTATATTGCAGCTGAGCCCTCCTGGGAAAGTACTAATCTATATCATTTAGATCACATAATAATAGATAGTTTCAATTAAATAACACTTTATTATGATTAAAACTTTATTTATTAACATTTTTATATGCTTACATAATGTATATATAAAATATTTAAGTATGCGATTTATAAGAACGTTAAGTAGTCAAATTCGTTTATTATAAAAATCGAAAGGTATTCATTACATCGTGTTCATACATATCAAGTAACAACAGCGCGGCCGGTGCGGGGGGGGCGCGTGCTTACCCATACAAAATAATCATAATAAATAAGAAGCTAATAAAACAGATGTAAATTAAATTTTTACAAATCAATAATTACATGAAAAGGAACTTATTTAATCTGACTAACATTCTCCTCCCCCGGGGCACCCCCTCTGTCTGTGGCAGTTCGTGTGTGCACATTTGAATTAAAATTAAAAATGTTATGTATTAATTTAAATCAAAAATGAAAATGCAAAAAGAGTTTAAATCTTATAACAACAATTAAAGTAACTGAGCACACAGACAGCGTAAACACGAAATAAAATGTAGTACTCGTTTATGTATTTTGATTTGAAGTAATTGAACAAGAAAATACTTACTGTAAAGGTTTAATATCGTTTCGTATGATGCTCCACAATCAATATCTTTAGATATCTTGTCAATGTAATATCAATATTCAAGCAAACTATGTTCGTTACAATCGACCCCGAGACCCGTCCCCCGCACCTGTCCCCCCACGGGGGGCGAGGGGGCGCATGCGGGGGGGTCGCGTGCGGGGGACATCGTAGTCAAAACTGGGGTGATGTGAAATGATTGTACCAAGCATCGGCCGCATGAAGCTTGTACTGAATTAAATACCTGATAACATAATAATATAAATACTCTACAATTGAGCTTCTATTCTTGTACTTCATAAAAAGATTAACGCTACGAACTTTAAAAAACAGCAAAGTGTCGGAGCGCCGGCCGCCGGCTACTGCCCAACGCAACACACACTACCTGTGTTACTTTCTTCTTTCACACTAAATTTTATTACCGAGGTTAAAAAATCTTTGGTTTATTGTTGTGTGTTTGTTGTGTGTGTATTGTGTGTGTGCGTGCGTGGGGACACGTCGACAGTGTCCCCTGACACTGTCCCGGGGGGTCGAGGGGTCGGGGGGGTCGGGGGGCGCGGGTCTATGTGTCGGGCGCGGGCGCGTGCTGCAGCGAGTAGGTCTCCGCGCGGAACGTGGGGGGACACACCAGGTGCGGGTACTCCGCCCGGGGTCCGCTCTGCTGCAAACAATACCAAATTGGAATAGAACATTAATAATAGAATATTAGTGTATTGTAAAGTGTGTGTGAGGTGGTTATTCTTGATTGAGTAGCGTTAGGCCTAGGCCGCACTATGATTAAACCGCAGTAGTTCAAAACCGTTAGAGTTTATGAAGTAGGAAAACGAATACAAGCGGCCGCACTTGCGGTTTTTTCCCATAACTAATTTTAAAACCGCGAAATCGAAAATTATCGCGAAATAAAACGCAGCGAATTTTGTAATCCATAGAACTACCAGGTGGGCGTGCACGTCCGCGGGGTCACGCATCGTGCATTTTGCATCCATGAAGGTATCATTTATGGACGCACATGACAAAATTTCTACATTGACCAAAATTTTATCGAAGTTGACTGACTGACGTCCGATAGTTATTGAAAAATATCTCTGGATGTTTTCTTAAGCTTTGATATTTCTTAAAAAAATCCTTACTCCAAACTACGGCTAGTAAGTGGACGGACCCAATGTTTGTGAAATTTTCGTTGACGTCTGTTTTTTCTATGTCTTCGTACCAGAGCAACAATACATACTGCTCTTTTGAAATACATCTTTAAACTGATAGTCGCGGGTGGTTTATAGTTGCAGTGTGTGCGTCTTGAGCGGTTTCGCGGTTATAGCGGTTAACCGCTCCCGGGAAAAACCGTAGTGCGGCCCGGGAGTTGAAAGTCTAGAAGAAAGCTTATTTTATTGGTCTTAATAACATTGGATTATTCCAAATTTAAATTTGAAATAAGAAATTAGACCTAAAATAATAGGGGTTAAAGTATTAAATTGCCGTTTTATATCATCCTCCGTATTCGCTAGATCTTGCTCCAGCGGATTACCATTTTTTTCGTGATTTGGACAATTTTCTACGTGATAAAAAGTTTTCTTTCCTGGAGGCAATACAAAATGCTTTCACACAGTTTGTAGAATCTAGTTCACCAGAGTTCTATCGCATTCCTATTAGATGGCAGCAATGTATAGATAATAATGGTAGATACTTTGATTAAATAAATATGTTAAATGAAAAAAAAAACGAATTTAAATTTTTTAGTACAAATCGGCAATTCTATACTTTAACCCCTAATATTTGCGCGGCGTAACCCTAGCCAAGATTTTAGCTTACCTTCTACAGTTTTCAGTGTGCTTAGTGCGAGTTTTTTAACATTCTCGATAGCGTAAAAGTTAACTCAAATCTGTATGGAGTTGGAACAGCGCCTCTAGCGGCACACGTAGGCAAACGTTAAAAAACTCGCAGTAAGCACATAGTAGTTTGGTTTCAAATTAGTTTTAAAACAAGTTATCAGTTAATATTGAGTTAAGCCCTTGTATGGAGCATGCGGCGCGGGGGAGCCGCGTACTGGGGGCAGTCAATCCGCTTTGGGCGGAAGTCGTGTTGGCGGAAGAACCGACCTTGTTTGGATCACAAATACCATGAAATACCATCAGAGATACTGCTGAATAGTACCGTAACGAGGTGTTGATATCTGAAGTCCCGTGTGGAAACCAATTTTAATTGAATAAAATACTAAGTATCCCTTTGACGCGCGTTGACTATTATTTTACACCGCATATCCGACCATTAACTCTGAACCCACGAAGGCTTCACGACAGAAAAAGCACAACGGAGACATTTATCACCTTTTTTTATCGATGGGTGGATGAGCTTACGGCCCGCTTGGTTTTAAGTCGTTCCAGAGCCTGTAGACATCAACAACGTAAATTCCGTCAATCTTTTTGTTTTTCAGGCCGGGGCAGTACCTTATAATACATGATATTTCCGCGTCTAAGGGGCGCGCGGGTGTTGACGACTCGCAGATGTCAAGCCCAAGAATGTTTTAGGGTCCTACCCACCAAACGACTCCCCTTGCAATCTCTCACCCAACGTCCGACTTCCGGCGGGAGTCCAGAATCCCGGCAGAGTAGGGGGATTCTCGCGGTTAGCTTGTCAAGCCGCTCCGGCTCCCAATAAAAAGGGTGAGAGCCGAGCGAAAGCCCTTTTCCGTCCTCCGGCTCGACGGCGGTGAATTAATGCGGAGAGGGACCCACCCGTGGGCGGTGAGCACTTACATCAACCGGAAGGTGAGACGATGGTCCGAAGACCGGCGGACGGGTTCACCGAGTGGCGAGACCGCGGCTCCAGCACGGAGCGCTCTCATCATTCCTTCCCCGGGACGCGGAGCCCGCCTCGACACGCTTAGTCGGCGGCGAGCGCCTTCGCCTCCGGGTCCCGGGGCGCGCACGCCGAATGATTCAAGTGAATTTTAAGTCTCGATTGTACAGTACAACGTCTGCGTGTGTGCGTGTGCGTGTGCGTGTGCGTGCGCGTGCGTGCGTGCGTGTGCGTACTCACGTGCGCGCCGAAGACGAGTCGGAGCCGCGACACGCCGCCCTCGGCGCCGGCCCAGCTGCGGACCACAACACGACATACAGTTCGCGGCGACACAACCTCACCTTGTTGCGAGACTAAACGTTTACGAATGCTAACTGCGATCTCTTTACAATTCATTTTGAGTCAAGCTACCGGACAAGTACAATAGTTCACTCATTTTAACTGACAATTTAGCAAAATAGAATAATGGAATATGTACCTGTCGGTGGTGCGAGCGCGCGGCGACTGCGGCGCGGCGGGCAGCGCGCTGTGCACCTGCACAACACGCGCGTCAGTACACACCAGCCCGCCCCACTACACACTCATCCCCGAACATTAGCTCTACATCTTTTTTTTTTCCTACCTAAGCTGATAGCCTTGAGAGGCTATTTCAGCGGAACCTTAACTAGTACAGTACGACCGACGTAACTTGGCGAGTCTGAATATAGCCGCAGGTCAACTTTCGCGCATGTACACTTGTAAAAAAAAGTGTTATTAGCATTCATTTTTTTAAATCAAAATACGAATTAAAATTTCCATATACAGGGACAAAGTACAAATAAAATGAATATCAAAACACTATGGAGAGAAAGCTATAAAAATAACGTAATAAATTAAAGAGAGGTAATAAAAAAATAATAAATTAAGACAGAAAGCGGTAAAAATAACGTAATTAAATTAATTCGAAAGTAAGCCCGAACATTGCCTTCAGTTGCGATCCGCTGTACTGTGCGTTGCGATACACCAGATCGTTAGCAACTCTAAATAAAACTGTCAACATCTTTTACGCCTTCTTCTTTTTCTTTTTAAAAAAAAATCAAAAATTATGTTTGTCGGCCATCGGTCGATTTAAAACACTATTATGCTTTGGTGGCATCTTTGTTAACGAATAGTATAAATGCCAAGGGACACTCAATACTAAAACAAATTTAAACACAAACAATCTTAAAACTAAACAAAAAACTGAGCACTAAAAAAAAACAGTATAATAATAACAAATCAATGAAAACTTTTGTAGCCGCCCGTACTCAAGACAGAGATAGCGACACGAACACGACACTAATGCTAGCGTGTGAGTGAGACACATTACCGCATACCGAGAATTACCGAATTTATACGATGTCAAGAAAAGGGATGTCCAATATGCGTGTTTGAGGATGTTGTTTAATCGATTTTTTTTCAAATTGATTAAAATTTATATAAAAATATATATTTATATTCCATTTTATAGGAGGTTTAAAATATTCACGAACAGTCCCTATTGTAGTAGTTGTTGATAAATAACTGATATTCAACTAAATCATGTCTTTCAACCAAGAAAATAAAGTGTTATTAGTTTTTTTTTTTATTAAAGATGAAGTCTCGTTTACTAACGACAACATTCAATATGTTTGTAAATCTATTTCATTCATTATCTTATATAAACAAAAATCAATAAATTCCAAACCGATAAAAATCGATTGTGATATTTGATTGAATAAAGGGACGATTGTGTTTACATAGTCAATCCCTAGCCTAGACCTCCGCCCCGCGCACGTTGCTCATACCACCATTTGGTTCCTAAAAACGTTTGTGCGCAGCCTTCTGCGCGAAGTTCGGACTCGCCAAGTTACGTCGGTCGTATTGTAGATGAGCTCACGGGGCTCAAACCTGACGTTGTTGCTAACACGAACCCTAGCAAGAGTCGTGCTTCGCAGAATCTACCACCGGATCGGAAACGCGACCCACTGATAAGATCCGGCGAGAAACTCAGTGGGCTGTGTCTGAAGGTTAATTTACTAGTCGAGCCCTTCGTCGCAAGCGACAAGTTCGACGAAAACGGTGACCGCTGCTTGAGGTACATAAAAACACCGTTAGTGGATTGGGAGGATCCGAAATGACATGTTTAAACTCTCTACATCAACTCGGACGCGCCGCTACGCGCGGATACGCCCGGCCAGAATAAAAGTGTCCCTGGGCCGAGTTACGACCCGATATGTTCTGAACATTCAATTAAATCAAAAACCTTTAAAGAGGGTTTTAGAAATAATTAATCAACGGCTTATATGTTTTTTTTTTCAATTATGTTAGTGTCTATTATTTTTTATACCTCCTTTAACATAATTATTTAATTTTAATGTCATTACCGTCGTCTCATTAATTTATGTTTCTTGCTCACAATTAAGAACTATACCAATTTATTTCCTCCTTTAGTTATACTCGTATAGGCATATATTTGTTGAAGTTCGGAAACAACACTGTGTTGTTTCTGGATCTCTTTGCTTCGAAAGTTTAAAAATGCTAAAGAAAATCAAAATAGGATTAATTAAACTGTAGATATCTGGCAGAGTTAATTATATGTACATAGTTATCAACTTATCGATTTTAAAATAATCATTGTAATTTCATAGACAGATCCTACCCGCTCTTCAGCTATTTTATTCGATAAAGTTTTTGAAGGGTAGTGGCCATATTTCGACCCGAGCGGCGGTCCCCGGGCCGCATTGTACTAATTGCCTTATGTAGACTACCACAAACATGGTCATATTCACCTTGTGATTCCTTCCCCAGGCCGGCTTCTCCTCCGCGCGGTACACCAGCCTCTCGTATCTGGGAAATTACATTTATCAACATTGACTCTACGCGGGGACCAGTCTCCGCCGGCGGACATCATATGCCACTCACCCGTCCCTCCCTCTGACGGAGACAGGCTTGGGGGTGGTGCTGCTGTGGGCGGAGGGTGCGGTGGTGGGCGCGGAGGGCGCGGAGGGCAGAGCGCGCCCCTGCACTGCAGAGTTGCTTCCCGTTCGCACTTCCCCGTAGATTACATCTGGAACTATTACAATGGTTTACTTCAATAAGCTGTGACGTGAAAATGTATTGAAATAATTTAAAATGAAACGAGGAAGGTGCATTCTGGCCTACAACACCACTAGGGTTTGTATGCGGCGGCTGAGGGGTTCAGCGGAGAATAGGTGTTTTTCACACAGAACGCGTACTTAGCGCGTGTCAGAACGCTAAACTGATGGCGCGCTACGACGCCGAGATGTGTTGTACTAGTATGGATATAAAGTGTCAGACCGAGCGCCAGCGCTAGCAGTACGCAGCGCTCTATCGCCGCGTTAGGACGCTTTGACGTTAGGCGTTGTTATTTTTTACAAATTTTATTATAGCGTCCGAATGAATATGTATTAAAATACTGGATAATGCCCGAAAAATTGATAGAATTAGTTGGAAAATACTCGCGCTTATACAATGCCACATATGAATCATTGGACATCTTAATATCTTTAAATTTTCACACTGCACGGAGAGCACTATGATTTGGCGAAGTTACGTTGCGTCAAGGAGCGTTGGGCTCGTCTAGTCAATTTGTGTGACGTGCACAGAGCGCGACGTTAAAACGCAACGCTAAGTACTTGCAACTTAAGTTGCATCTACTCGTACATTACTGTTCTTTATTACAGAATAGAGTCAATAATTCCTTGGCACTGCGGCAAACGACACTATTCGTCGGGTAACAGCATGCGCGGGCGGGGCTGAGGACCCGTGGAGCTAGGAGCTGTCCAGCGGCCAGAGCGATTGCGCTGTGACGTATTTGCCGATAGTTGGGGAACACGTACTCAACAAATGTTCACGATTGACTTCCACGGTGAAGGAATAACCTCGTGCAATAAAAATCAAACCCGCAAAATTATCATTTGCGTAATTACTGGTGGTAGGACCTCTTGTAAGTTCGCACGGGTAGGTACCACCGCCCTGCTTATTTCTGCCGTGAAGCAGTAATGCGTTTCGGTTTGAAGGGTGGGGCAGCCATTGTGACTATACTGAGACCTTAGAACTATATCTCAAGGTGTGTGGCGCATTTACGTTGTAGATGTCTATGGGCTCCAATAACCACTTAACACCAGGTGGGCTGTGAGCTCGTCCACACATCTAAGCAATAAAAAAAATAAAAAAATAAAAACTTTTTTCCAAAATAATGCTATCTTTAGCATAATAATAGTACTTAATAATCTTAACAATGTTTTTTGTGTTAACGAGTCAGGCGTTTTGGTGCAAACTGTAAGCGTGACTTTTGAACTGAATGGAATAAATATATAGTTTGACGCAGCTTGCAGGGCCCGCACCGATGCTGTCGAGCCTGGTCTGCAGGTCGCGGCGCACGCCCAGCAGCACGCGCTCGGAGTACAGCTGGCGCCGCTCCTCCGCCTGCTTCTCCAGCATGAACTGCTCCAGCGTCACCGCGCCCGGGCCCTTGTCCAGCTGCAACAAGCAACCCGCGCTACAGCGAGACACAGTCGTTTTGAAGTCGTCGGTGCATTCGTATCTAGCGATGCAACGGTGTTCGAATCCCCAATGAAAGACGTACTCAACAAATATTCATGATTGACTTCCACGGTGAAGGAATAACATCATGTAATAAAAAATCAAACCCGCAAAATTATAATTTGTGTAATTACTAGTGGTAGAACTTCTTGTGAGTCCGCGCGGGTAGGTACCATCAACCTGCCTATTTTTGTCGTGAAGCAGTAAAACAATGCGTTTCGGTTTGAAGGGTGGGGCAGCCGTTGTAACTATACTGAGACCATAGAACTTATATCTCAAGGTGGGTGGTGCATTTACGTGGTAAATGTCTATGGGCTCCAGTAACCACTTAACACCAGGTGGACTGTGAGCTCATCCAACCATAAAAGCAAAAAAAACAGTCTCCGAGCCGTGAAAGGAGATGGGAGATACTCTTTAGTACTAGGAAAAGACTAAAATTGCTTTTCCCCAAGAGACAGTCATTTAATATAACATTAATTCAAATAACTTTGCAAAAAATAATTAACTACAGCACGGGCTCCTCCCGCGACATTACAGGCCGGGACTGCAGTGGGGCGCGGTCGTCGACTTTGAGGACAACAAATTAATTGTAATTTAGATTATGAATAAGATGCTCTTAATGTTATGTTCGTAAATATGTATGTAAGTAATAACAAAAAACGGGTCTATTCCACTACCACTCAAAAGTAAAGTATTTAATACAAATATACTTCCGACTATGACGTATGGGTGTCAGACCTGGGCTTTAACTCAGAAGAACATCAAAAAACTGCAGACGTGCCAACATAGTATGGAGAGAAGCATGCTACATGCTAAAATAAAGGATAAAATAAAATTAAAAGATATCCGTATGAAAACAAAAGTAACGGATGTATCATACACAATTAAAAAATTACAGTGGAAATGGATAGGTCATTTATTAAGAAGCAAAACAGAAAAATGGGCTACATTAGTAACTGAATGGTACCCTCAAAAGGGGAAAAGATTAAAAGGACGACCGTTCCAAAGGTGGGTAGACGATATAAAAGCCGTTGCGGGCTCTACGTCGAAGAGGAAATGCCACGACCGGAACTTATGGCAGGATTTGGGGGAGGTCTATGCGAAAGCAAAACAATCTTAGCGGATGTCAAATGAAAAGAAAAATGTACCTAAATATGAATTAAGGTTGTTAATAAAGGCTTCTTTATCTTTATCTTAATGTTATGTTTCCCATACAATGCCGTACTGGTGTCCCGGTGCGTACCGGTGCGTGCTGCAAGATCCAACAATTCCTACCTCGATTTACAGTGTGTTTCAAGTTAACAGAACATTATGTCCCGCAGTGTAAAAGTAGCTGCAGTAGTAGTAGTCATGTAAAAATTATCGAACTAATTGTTTTTCTGATTCACTCAATCAATTTACAAAACTTTACGGGATTTTGAGCCCGGTTGACTTAACCGTGTCAGCACGCGGGCGGCGCGCGTGTGTGCGTGCGTGCGTGTGCGTGCGTGTGAGCGGCGCTGACCTTGGGCTCGGGGCGCGGGACCCGCAGCGTGGGGCGCGTCACAAAGTCGCTCTTCTCAAAGTCGAGCAGGTTCGGGTTGGAAGCGTGGATGTAGTTGATCGGCTTCGGTATCTTGTTGGCGAGCGGCTCCGGGGGGGCGCGGGCGGGGCTGCGCGCCTGCTCCGGGGGGCCGCGCGCCTGCTCCGGGGGGCCACGCGCCTGCTCCGGGGGGCCGCGCGCGTGCTCCGGGGGGCCGCGCGCCTGCTCCGGGGGGGCCGGCTTGCTCTGCGACAGGTCACAGTGCGCAGTACAGAACTGGCGGGAATGGGACAGGGGGGGCCCACGAGCGTGGCCCGGAGACGGCGTTCGACTGACCTTGGCTGGTTTGGTCTCGTCCTTGCTCTTGTTCCTGAGGAAGAACCTCAGGTACTTCCTGTCGAGGCTGGTGGANTGCTCCGGGGGGCCGCGCGCCTGCTCCGGGGGGGCCGGCTTGCTCTGCGACAGGTCACAGTGCGCAGTACAGAACTGGCGGGAATGGGACAGGGGGGGCCCACGAGCGTGGCCCGGAGACGGCGTTCGACTGACCTTGGCTGGTTTGGTCTCGTCCTTGCTCTTGTTCCTGAGGAAGAACCTCAGGTACTTCCTGTCGAGGCTGGTGGAGGAGTGGCTGACGATCTCCTGCGACTCGCTGCGCTGCATCATGTGGGTTAGTTTCTTTAAGGAACCGAACTTGGACTTATCTTTGTCTTTCTCTTTTTCCTTATCTTTGTCCTTTTCTTTATCTTTTTCCTTCTCCTTCTCGCTCCGTTTGTCGGGGCTCTCGCTGTCGGACTCGGTCTCAGAGTAGTCCGTCTCCGAGAACTGCTTGGACACGTCCAGCTGCAAGCACGCGACAGAAACACGTATGTTGTGTGGGCAACTCATCTTATACAAATTGTGTCCTTTAATACTACAATAACACAATTCAATTGACAATAGGACAATGCCCAAAAGTGGGCCAATTTTGTGTCAAAACTATTTGTACTTGAAAAACATGCCTTATTTTTTCACGTTCTTTAGTTTATGTATCAAAATTTCTTTCACCCTGGCATTGTTTTACAAAAAAATAAATTACTTATTTGATAACATCCGAAAACTGAGTACATCCATCATTCATAGTTTTTAAATTCGCTAATAGGCAGACAAAGGGCTAGCCCATACAGACTTATAGTAAACCTAAATGCTGCCAAAGAAAAGAGATGTTGACTTGAACAACAAATTAAAAAAAAAGCTAACGGAACGGTTATAATTCACAGACTTTTTTAGTTTATTTTTGTTCAATTCAATATTTATATATTGTAATAATAATTATTACTTAAAACCATGAACTATTTAACATTTTTAGACATTAATGATTCCATTAGTAAAAATCTCAATGGCCCACCATTACTTATTCTTATTATCTATGGTCAGAGAGTTTTGGCAGCAACCCGAGTGAAGCGTCACTTGAAGTTTTATTTTAATGTTTTTTTAATAGTTTATTGTGATGTATAATATATAAATTAGGTGTTGTTTGATGTACTAAACGTCAATAACCGTTATTCACGATTGTGGATATTGAAATACAACTGTGGCTAACATAGCAGTGACTGTTTCTTTTTTTTTTTCAAGATAAAAGGTCTGCGGAAACTCACGCTCAGTCAATGTACTATTCGTCGAGTTGACGTCAAAACTCCAAAAAAGCAATAAAAAGAGATACACCGGCTTTTTATTAACATAAAAATAATATAACTACGACAGACTAGGCTGTTTAGGTTACGCTCTTTGCCTGCCTATTGGCGAATTCAAAAACAACAACAGCAATATCGTTGCTGGCTTCTGGATTTTCATTTCCGAAAGAAGGGTCAATGAAGTCCATTCTCAGAAACCACCTTCATTTTATTATTAATATGAGGATATAATAATAATAAAACGTACATAAGGGCTTATTTCTAGCAACATTAACCACAATTCACTTATTTAACACTGTAATTAATTATGAGAGCGATTTTCGAAGAAAACAACAATTTAATTTTAGCTGCAGAAAAAAACAGATTTCTCTTAAACCTGGGTGAAAATATTAAAATCGTTTTCTGAATATGAAACGATATTTCTTTGTCTATCAAATTAAGTTAAAACCATCATGACACGACAACTTTTTTTAGGGGCCCAAACGCCCAAAGAAAATGGACATTATCCTTTCAAAACTTCATCATGCATAAAAATATCGTTTCTTTATTTTTTTTATTCTGAGCTAAAATATGTAATTCTTATAATTTTACATCACTTAATTTGTGAGTAAATAATTAAAAAGGGAAAATGTTGTGGTGGCGTCATGTTTACGAACTGCATAAAAATATTCCTTTGCCGTTCCGACATTGCTGATATTTTATACTCTGTGGCGAAAATGTCAAAATATGCCACTATTATTACAAAACAAAAGCGACCGGGTTCCCAACTTTGTATTTCTCCCCCTTAAATTTAGGGAGGAAACAAGTATTTTTATTTTTTTAAACGGATTTTTTGACCTGATAACTAATACCTTTATTTAGGTCATGTCTTATTTTAATTTATATTCTTATTTTTATGAAAAATGATAATATGGAGTGAAATGAAATTAGGATGATTAATTTGAGACATCAATCAACTGAGATGAAATTATATGAAATGAGATGAGATGATATGGGATGAAATATAATCTCAGTAAAATGGTGGTCATTTACTGAGACTTTTTCAGTGGAAAGTACCTGGTGGCCCAGGGAGGGCAGCATCGTGGCGCGGTGTATGAGCTGGATCCAGGCCAGCATGTCGTCCCGCGACTCGCAGGCGAAGTAGAAGGCGGTGCCGGTGTGGTACACCTTGAAGGCGTGCGCGCGGGACTTCACCTCGCCCGCCGCGCACACCGTGAACCCCTCCAGGTAGATCATGCAGTCCGCCTTCGAGCACTGCACAAACGGGGCGGGTACAGGCGGGGCGGCGCGCGGGGGGCGGGGGCGGGGCGGGGACACGTACCTCCGGCGAGCGGTAGGCGTACAGCAGGTTGTGCGCCAGCAGCAGCGTGCGCGCCACCCAGCGCGGCGCCGCGCCCCCCGCCCGCACGCGCTGCCACACCGCGCCGCCCGCGCCGCGCGCGCCCACCCACCGCGCCGCCACCTGCCGGCGCTCTGAGCCACGCAATGCCACTCGTTGTTCAAAACAATACCAAATCAACGTTTATAGCTATATTACTCATAATTGACAATTTGTATGTGCTGTTGGAATTAACTCACTGGCCAGTATGGAGCTCTTCTTTTTCAGACTCCTGGATTTGGACGAGGGGAACATGCCTCGCACGGCACTAGTGGGCGACAGTGCGAGAGGCCGTGAGGAGTGGTGATCGTCGACGGGTCGCGGAGTCGCGGGGGCGCCCGGGGGGTCCGCCTCGCTGTTGATGGCCGGCAGCTCGTGCATCACCTCGTTCGGGATCATTTTGATGTCGTGCTTCGTGATGTGCCGGAGCGGAACTGAAATCTGATTGATATGACCGTGACACACTACGCGACATCTTTTGCCGGGTTATTACTTGACGCCAGTGATGAGGAATAACAGAGTTTTAAAATTAAAATGTTACAATAAAACAGCACCATTCTTACAATCGCCGACTCCCCCAGTGATGGCGAACACACGAGCCGATCTATAGCATGGGCCCGCTGTGGGCGAGTCGCAGAGTGACGCAGAGCACCGCACCGCTAGCTCCGCTAGATGACTACACTAGTCCGCTAGTAGCAGAGTGCTGCTACCTGTCCGGCGTCGATGGTCCGCATCGGCTTGAGCGGCGAGGTGGGCTCGCTGCGGTCCGGGCGGCGGGGCACCGCGCGCAGCACGGGGAACGAGCCGGCCTCGGCGACGAGCAGCGGGGGGGGCGCGGCGGGGGGG